CTCTCATAAAAACATACTTTGTTTAGTTGTTACATCAATTTGATTTTTCATAGTCATAAAGTACGATTCAATAATTCTTCGATTCTTCTCTTTTTTTATAGTTTGTAAAATTTCGATTAACATTGCATTATCTACAATTTGTTAAGGTGAAGAACAGCTCTAAAAATGGCTGACTATCAGCCCGATGACATTGTTGATATGATAATGGTGTTAGGCGAAAGTCATAATAATTATCGTGCTGCAGCAAGACTTTACGCTGAACGCTTTCCAGATAGACGACACCCAGATCATAGGACAATAAGTACATTAACTGAAAGAGCTCGTGGTGGACATATGGTTCGCCATCGCAGGCGCCACGAATACGACGAAAATGATGCTCGTGTTCTGACTGTTCTTGCAATCGTTCACCTTGATCCTCATATCAGCAGTCTGTTTTTATGGAGCTGTTTGAAAAATATTGTTTTCAAACAACAGCCCACAACAAGAGCAAACTTTGAAGATCGCATTCGTCGAGCATGCGCTGCAATTCCAAGGCAAACTCTCCTTAACACCGTACGCCATTTCCAAAGACGTTTGATTTTATGCCTTCAAGCAAATGGAGGCAACTTCGAACATTTACTTCGAAATTAAATTAATAATTTTTAAAATAGTGAGAGGCGAAGGGACTCACTTTAATCCAGCACCCCAAAGGAAACAGTACTTACTACGTCCACGTCGTTGTTTCTGGGTAGCGCTAAAAGTAAGGTTAATACAGTTAAAGAAACCCTCGAAAATAGTGATTCCCATTTTGAAAAATCACTATGACCTTGAAATAACCTTGAAAATCGAGTTCAAGGTCAAGATCAGAGTACAGATAGGTGACCCCCTCGGCCCCCTTTAACATTTGTCTGAACCAATTTTACGTATTTGGCTTAGGTTCCGATATATTCAATTGGGAAATCAAAATTCGCAAACCTGACCTTCATTCGACCTTGCCATGACCTTGATTAACATATCATTTTGAACGTAAAATTTCCCGCTCTTTTCAAATCCGGGGTCAAAAATAGGTGTTCCCATTTAAAAAAATCACTTTGACCTTGAAATAACCTTGAAAATCGAGTTCAAGGTCAAGGTCCTTGGTACCATTACGTGACCCCCTCTGTCCCTATCGTGCCCGTGTTA